ATATCTTAAAAAAAAAAAAAAAAAAAAAAGAAGACAGATATTAGCAGGCAATCAATAACAGTATGCCACAGAAAAAATTCAGAATCTTGGGAGGGGATATACACGTGTATTTTGAACAACCTTCCCAGGATATTATGCTTTCCTTGACAAGAACCACTGATCTTAATTCTGAAGACTCAAAATATATACCTTCAAACAGTTCTCCTTTCTGAGGTGTTTGCTTTTATCTATTTGTTTATGGAATACTTGTATAGTGCTTATCATTTGTCATTGTTTTAAAGCTCCATACAGATATTAATTTATGTAATACTTATAACAACCATGAGCTAAGCTCTTTCACCTAGAAAATGGCACAGACATCTTATACTCAAGAGCACTGAAGTTATCTCATTCCTCCAAACCTACTAATAATTTCTTCTAGTTTTGGTGACTAGCACCATCTTCATCCATTGAGAGGAAATTCATATAAACTCTCTAATATGTGATAGCTGATAAAAGTTTGAAATAGAGAACTCATCAACATATTTCCCCTACCTTGACCTCCACTTTTACAAACATCCTTTATTCTACAGTTTAGCAGAGACACTTGGATATGTGTCTTAGTCCCCTGTATTTACAATTTTCTGCCCAAATCACTATACCATACAACAGAGATATATTTATTTAAATATCCTTGAGATTCTTTCTATCTTTTAAACTCTGTGTGTGATGTTCTCTAATTTATTTATTGAGAATTATTTGTCTCTATGTGGTGATTCACTGTGCAAGAGTATTTGAATGCTCAGGGCAGGTACTAAATGGTCTTAGACTAAATCTCAGTTTTTGTTCTTCACTAAAAGAACTTTTCATTAATCAATTCTTACACAACAAAATTTCTTTTCAATATTTACATGATAAAAATATACTTTTTGCTAGAAAAGCAAATAAGTAGTACTTTTGAGCTCATATAGTCTTTTTATAGTTTGAAAATTTTCTTACAGTTGCCAAGAATAATTTTAATGTAATACACAATATCAACACATTATCAAAATATGAATTTAAATAATGTTTCTATTTTCCTCTGTGGTCAATTCTTTCTTTCAAACAAAGTATGACAAAAAATGCAGACAACTGTTTTGCAACAAAATCTGTAACAATCAATTCCAAATACTTTTGCAACCTCAAATTTGCCCATCAGTCCTGTTCAAAATACATCATTTTAACTCTTCAAGTTGTCATCATTCTTGTATCTTCTTACTTCTAAAAATTTTCCCCCATTTTAGTAATCTCTGTCTCTCCTTCCTAACGATGTAATTTATCATATATTAAAAATCACCTCAAATTTTATTTCAACCACAGAAATGGATCCTTTCTTCTAATCTCACGCTTATATTCTGCTTGAGAAAATAATAAAAGTGGAATATAAGGATATGTTCAACAATTCTATTTCTATTAGTACTTAGTCTTTACCTTCCCCTGATAGAGTAAAAATACTAAAAATAAAAATTAAAAGTATGTATCAATCAATCTGTCAAATCTGAGTATCTGCTCAGCCATTGTGGCTCAGTAGTTGAGCATTAACCCATGTGCCAAGGTCACAGGCTCGATTCCTGGTCAGGGCACATGCCCAGGCTGTGGGCTGGATCCCTGGTAGGGGGTGTGCAGGCGGCAGCCAATTGATGTTTCTCTCTCATAGATGCTTCTCTCTCTCTCTCTCCTCTCCTTCTCCCTTCCTCTCTAAAATAAATAAAAAAATATTTTTAAAAATCTGAGTATCTACTCTCTATCACAAACACAGTTAGTTAATTTACAGAATCATAAAATTTGAAAGTCCCCAAATTAAAGAAATAGTTCCTTTTTAGAAACAGATTTTCTTTAGTTCTCCCACTTATCCTTATTGATACACATCACCATTTGTCATCATTTAAAATAATTTTCCCTTCCTTGGCTTTTATAAAAGAATTCATAACAAAGGGTGCATATGTGACAGTGAAACAAATTTATAGGAAGGTGATCAGAGTCTAAAGTCCTACATAAACTAAGGCTTACACAGCTGTTAACGTACAGAAAATGAGCTTTTCTGTTATATGTACTGAAGAAGGAAACAGAAGGGTGTGCCCACTTATGGACTGACTTTTGAAATCATGGAAAAGAAAAAGTTATCAGAAGCTTCGAACAAATCAAGTAAATATCTTGTTTTCAATAACAGAAATTATATTGTTAACTAAAGTACCTTAAAACAATCACTGGTACTCAATGTTTGGAGGAAACACTTTAAGGATGTTTGGTAGCATCTAGAAATGGAATAATCAGCAGGGAGTAGTATAAGTTGACAACGAACCAATAATTTCATTTTTAACAGGGTCAAAATTAATTCAGGTATAAATCTCTTTAATATGAGAAACCTTAATTTCAGCAGTATTTGATAAATGCTTTTACTACTTATGAAAAGACTATACAATTAGGTGGAGATCAGAGATGTTGAGTCATCACTTGGAAAAGAGAAAGATTAATAGAATGATGCCAATCTGAAGGGAGCTCTCCAGCACCTTGATAGGTGGTCCTGTTTGTAGTCCTCTCCTGACCAACATTTATATGCATGATTTGAATAAAAATATAAAGGAAATGCTTATCAAATTTTTATGTGAGGTAGTAAAAGAACCACATTGGTTAACACTAGACAGAAATTTAAAATATTATCAATAGACTGGAGCAATGGGTCAAATTAAACAGGTGAACTTTCATAGGAATAAATATTGCAGGTGGGAAAAATTCATTTAATCATTGTAATACATAACGTAATTTAAAAACCTGAACAATAAGACTAAAATATTTTATTTAATAGTAAATTAATTAAAAGTTTATTGTGTGATGACCTTATACTACGCTGTATCAAGCATTTCATCAAGAGTGTAGGAAATGGTAGTCTTACCAAATTCATTACTGATCAGAACCATAGCTGAAGCACTATGCCAGGTCAGGGGAACACATTTTCAGGTGATTACTGATAAACTGGAACATGAAAAGAAAGCAGCCTACCTACTGGATTATTTTTAAAGTAAGCCCTATATAAATAGGCCATGATGAAATCCAGAACAGAAAAAAGCTCACAAAGAGAGATTTAGGCTCCTCACCTCCTTCAACTTCCATCTTCCTGACCTTGTGAAATGATTCTATTCTTTTGTTCAAACCATTAAAACACAGAATTTGTTCTCTATTTTATTCTTCTTTGAAATCCTCTATCTAAACCAGAGGTGGGGAACCTTTTTTGTGCCAAGGGCCATTTAGATATTGATAACATCATTCACGGGCCATACAAAATTATCAACTTCAAAATTAGCTATGAAAAAAGCTCCTAGATTTATTGAATTTTGAGTCCTGCCTGCGGTTGTCTTGGCAGGGCCAGACCAAATGATTCCCCACCCCATCAGCAAATCTTGGTAATTCTACCTCTTAAATGTATTTCAAACCTGTTCACTTCTATTTTCACTTTACTTCTTCTAGTCTAAGCTACAATCATCACTTCCAACTATAAACAGCCTCCTATTGGTCTCAGTATTCACCCTGGCCTTTTACAAGACATTCACATTTTTTAAAATGTAAATCTGATCATGTTTCTCTTTAGCTTTAAATCCCCTCATAGCTGTCCAAGGTGCTCAGTCTTTACCATGAGCTACAAAAACCCAGTAAAATATGTTCCTTGACCACAGAGCCAAACTCATCTCATGCTACTAGACTTTATCCATGGTATTCCTGCCACACTGGATTTCATTCAATCCCTTGAACCGAACTAAAAACAAGATACTGAATACCTCAGTTCCCTGTGCAAGCTCTTCTGTCTTACCTAGAACACTCTCTTTCCTATACTTGGCATAGCTAAATTCTTA